CAAAACAAAATGCTGTCAAGGCAGCTAACCCACTTTTAGGAGGACACACAGTGATACAGAGCAAGAAGCCTTTGACAGGACAATCCAGAGACATTGACAAGACACCAAGGGGCTGAATATATAAAGAAACTAACAAGGTAAAATGATGGGCCCCTGTTGTGATTAGATTGAACACAGGTGAGAGAGTGCTGGAACACAGGAAGGAGAGACACTGGAGGAGTGAAAGGCAAACATGAAAACACAACATGCAGGACCCGACCCCAAAAACTCTACAGGACCCACCCCTCAAGGCATAGCACCTGAAATCCTAAAGAGAGAGCTACATCCACTTGGGTGGTGGTTGAGAAAAATGAAGAGGTAGGGCACACAGGGAACAAAAAACAAAGGTTCGACAGGTAGGAACCTGGGCAAATACTGAACACAAAATGGGAACACAGAAACCCTAACCCCCATAGTCAAGGTGGGCAGTCAGGAGACCATCCAAAGCAAAGCAGAAGATCTGGGGGCCAGCCTAGGGACCATCCGTCTGCAGGCCAGAGATCAAGTGGATGTCCAGGAGACCATTCATCCTTACACCAGGGCTCTGGTGGGTGGCCAGGAAGCCATTCGTCTTAGAACCAGGGTTCTGTTGGGTGGCCAGGAGACCGTTCGTTTGAAGGCCAGAGCTCTGGCGTATGGCCCTTTATGGGCAGCAGTGGCATCCACCTATACCCTCTTGGACTCAGGCAGAAAATGAATGAGGAGACCCCCGGGAAGGATGTGGCGATAGGTACAGAGGCCACTGGAGAGACTGTAGGAGGAGTCATGGCTGCAGGTGATAAGGCCAAAAGAAAGGCCACAGGGGAGGCCATGGTTGCAGGTGACAAGGCCAAAGGAGAGGCCACAGGGGAGGTCATGGCTGCAGGTGACAGAGCCATGGGAGCGGCTGTGACTAAAGGTGATAAGACCCCTGGGGCAGCAGCGGCTGCAGGCAATGAGACCCTTGGAACAGACATTGGCAGAAAGACCTCAAAGTCCTCTGTTGGTGTGGAAACCAGTGAGGTTTTGGCTGGTGTGGAAACCAGCCTTGGAGCTGGTGTGGGAACCAGTCTTGGAACTGGTGTGAAAACCAATCTTAGAGCTGGTGCGTGAAGCAGTCTTGAAGCTAGTGTGGGAACCAGTCTTGGAGCTGGTGTGGGAACCAGTTCATGTGCTGCAGTAGACACAAGTAGACACAAGAGCCTCTGTCTGCTTCGAGGTGTCTGTCTGTGTCGATGCATCTGTTCACATCGGCTGAGGCTAGCTTGGCTGCTTAGTTGGCTGAGGCGGCTCGGCTGCTTCGTCAGCTGAAGCTGGCTTGGCTGCTTTGTTGGCTGAGAAGACGTGGCTGCCTCAGGGATAGCAGGAAGCGTTGCTGCAGCTGAACCTGCAGGAGGAGCAAGGACCTCTGGAAGAGTGAGGACCTCTGGAAGAGCAAGGACCTCTGGAAGAGCGAGGACCTCTGGATGATGAGAGCCCAGCAAGTCTGGTGCTGGTGTGGGGACCAGCATGGCAGGTGGTGAGCTGGGAGAAGAATCAGGCTGAGAAGGAGCCAGCAGAAGGGAGTACAGCATACACCTTTCTGTTCACAACTTCTGGAACTGCTCCCATGTCCCAGTTGACACGTTCACTTTATCAGCACTGGTGTACTCGCTAATAAAGTTCTCCACTGTGATCATCCTCCCCCAGAGATTGCTGGAGCTGTGGGGTTCCTCCCCCCCAGCGACAGGTACGCTGGAGCGTGCATCTTCTCCTTGTCCATATGTTGTGGAAAATGAATAGTCATTGGATAGCAGGAACAAACCAAAAACCAAAGGTTTAAGAACTTCCGAATGATTCCATGAAAGTTACTCATATAAAATAGTGCGTCCTCATATTTTTAAACAGCACTGTTGTTGCTGGCTTACGTGAGATATAATACATCCATTTTAACTTTCTTACAACTATTTTCCCATGGTTACATTGAGTAGGTGAACAACTGCAGTTTTTACTGTCCTGACCAGACTCAAGGTGAAACAAACGTGAATTTCATCTCCGTGATCTGGTATCGGAGATGAGGTGGTGGAATACTGATTTATTCTGGATGACTGCCCTTGACGGCCTTGCATAAGTTCTCACTTATTAGGAAGAATGGTTTTGTTTTTTCCCCTAGACAATCCTCAAGTGATGGTGGGTAGAACCTTGAAGAGGGAAGAGGCTGAAGAAGGCAAGAAAGTTAGATAATAGTAGAATACCGGAGGAGGTGGATAGTAAGGACCCAAACTGTAATCCTCCAATGTATCTTCAGGCTGGGCATATAAATTTCCCAGCAAAAGGTCAGCATGGTCTGTCTGCCTGCTTTGGTCATTTTCTTCATGTTGGTCTGTATCAAGTTGAAGCCAAAAAGTTTATAACAGGGACCCCTCCATCCATCTCATGTATTGTAGATTATGGACACTGGGAGGCTGGGCTTAAAATTTTAGAGTTATTCTTCGCAGCAAGAAAATTGGACCAGCACGAGTGGCTGCGGAAAATGTTGGAGATTTGCTCACCTTTATCGTCCAATTTTTGCACCCAAATGTCAATTGGTAGAGCCAACAGTGTTCTGAATACACCACAGTCAGAATTCACAGACTCCAGGACAAAGACATTTGAGGGAATCTTGTGGTCAGATTTGCGTATGCTTACTTAAAAGGACAGTGACCGAACACAATATCTTTACTCTGCTAGACTGCTTTGAAGTATTTTCTCTGCAATTTCAGCTTGCGATAGAAACGTCCCATGTTTACTTGTTTTGCAATCATTGGTGGACAGCTCCTCCAAATCTGAGAACATGGTCCTCAGTTGGAAAAGAGTAGATTGCTCTCTTCAGGTTGAAGGTGAGGTCCTGTCTCAAGTGAAGGAGTTCAAGTATCTCGGGATTTTGTTCATAAGTGAGGTAAGAATGGAACATGAGATTGACAGATCGGTGCAGTGTCTGCAGTATTGAGCACTCTGTGCTGGTTGGTTGTGATGAAGAGGGAGCTGAGATGTAAGGCAATGGTCTCTATTTACCGTTCAGTCTATGTTCCTACCCTCACCTATGGCCACGAACTCTGGGTAGTGACTGAAAGAACGAGATTGCAGATACAGGTGGTTGAAATAAGTTTCCTCTGCAGGATAGCTAGACTCTCCCTTAAAGACAGAGTGAGAAGTTTAGTTATCCGGGAGAGGCTCTGAGTAGAACCATTGCTCCTCCACATTGAGAGGAGCCAATTGAGATGGTTTGGACATCTGGTAAGGATGCTTCCTGGGCACCTCCCAAGAGAGGTGGTTCAGGCATGTTTGACTGGGAGGAGACCTGCGGAAGACCCAGGACATGTTGGACAGACTAATGCCCCTTTTCCATTAGTACTGGTACAGGCCGACTGGACCCTACTTGGCCCGGTTCTGAGGCTTTTCCATTAGTACCGGTACTTAGCACCTGTTACTATTTTCAGTACCCTTGGCTCTGTGGTTCTAACCCGAACGAAGAGGTACTAAAACGTGACATCAGAACACTGTCGGTCACTGATTGGTCAGGGGCGGAGTCACTGGGTCCTTCAGAAACTTTTCAAAACAATGATCCACCATTTGCAATTTCTCGGACTGGAGCAGTGGCTGGACTTATTTTAAAGATTTTAAAAACAATACTGACAACATCTTGGTCTAATGCTGATGTGCTGGCATTTTTTGTGCTTGGTGGCTGACAACATAATTCAGAGCAAGCTGGATGGAGCTCTGCTGGTGTACCCCGATCCTCCCCCCGGAGCCTCGGAGCGCCAGGCCGGGCAGGGCATCATCTCCCCAGCTCCGAGTTCCGCTGGTCACCGCAGAAGATCCTTCGATGTGCCGACTCGGAGGCTCGGGTTCCGGATACCAGCCTTGTGTGCTCAGAGCTCCGCTGATCACTGCTAAGCTGGAGATGGGGACTTGCAGAAGGCCATTGTGAGACCCCGGCCGCGTGTAATCATGAAGGCCGAATCCCGATCCCATCCGGCAGTAAGGCGGACTGGACAGTCTGGGATGGACGGTGGAAGCGATTTTTAAATAAAATAATATTTTGTTTTTATCCAAAAAATGTTTTTAAAAAATTGCTGAAGCGATTTAAAAATGATTATTATTTTTTTACACATAAAATGTTTTTTAAAATTGCTTCCACCGTTCGTCGCAGACCCGTCTCTGTCCGCCTGTCTGCGCGTGTCGGGCTTTCATGATTACGCGCGGCTGGGGTCTTGGAACGGCCTCTGCGAGTCACCAGCTGAGCACGGAGCTGGGAAGATGAGCCTGCCAGTCCTGTCTCCGGAGGAGAGGATCGTGTGAGACTAGCAGAGCGTTGAAGATTTAAAAAATAAATAAATAAACAGTGCCAGCTTCATCATGAAATCCTGTTTTCACTTTAATGACTGTTAACTCAGCTGAAAATCATAGAAAGACACAAAACTATTGGATCTCAGGAATATTTCCCTCAAACATGTTTAAAGAAAAGAGACGACCTTCAGTTCAACTTTATTTTAACACACAAATGTACAAATCACAAAACAAGAACTTTAAAGCAAAGCTAAAAATAAAATGTATATATGTGAACAAGAAAGAAAACCACACATCTAAAATGAACATTACAAGTAGACACAATGAGTGCAAATACATCAAATTCAATTCAATGATTCAATACATCAAAATTACTGATTGAGACTGATTCATCTCTGAAGGCATCTAGCATGATTTACTGGCGAATAAAGAATCTTAAGAGAGGAGGAATAGATTTAAGGAGGAAGTTTAGATTTAAGGATGAAAGTTATGTGTTGAACCAGAACCTGACACCCTTCCTCCGGCATCCAGCTTAGCCCTCCGGTACAATTCAGGACGTGCAGCGACTTTGTTACCTTAGCAGAGGATGCATCCACGGCGGAACAGAAGTCCATTGGTACGCTCCCTTTTCAGCGTCTCCGGTTAGAGTAGCTGGGGTCATCAGAAATCGCGACGAAGTACTCGGTTCAACCGAATAAGCTTCCTTAGAAGTTGAGCTTTTAATGCTCGGGTTGAGTCATAGCCGAGGCAGGCTGTGACTACGCTGGAATGGAGAGACCCTTGGCACATGGTCAAATCCATCCGCTACTTAGTTGAGTCTCATCTTCGACTGAAAGTTCCAGCAAGACTGGAAAAGACTACGAAGTCTCCAAAAGACGACTCGTGAAGACTAAGACTGAATAGTTTCAAGAAGTGTTGCCTTTTAAAGGGGTATCCACTTCCTGTTATGTGGTACTTCCTGACTGTTTGAAAAAACCAGCAGGGGTGTAGTTTTAGTGATGTCAGAGGGTCACAAGGAGTCAGGAGGCAGCAGGAATGTTTTTAAAAATGGTTAGTACAGACAGAGAAATATTATGAAGAGGTGAGACAAAGCAGGTGCCAGCAGCTCTTATTTACTGTCTGAGAGTTTTAAAACAAGACACTTCGTTCTCATAACTTGTCTCTGACTTTCGACCAACATCCACTACTCCTCATTCAGACAGACGACTAAATGCACACTTACTTCGTAAATAGACATTTAACTGTATGATCAAAGTCTAATGAGGTTTAAAAATCATTAATACTGTTTCACAGTTGATTTAAATGAGTGGTTCACTTCAACATTTAGAAATGTTAAATTAAATTAAATGTTAAATTAAATTAAATAGTCTCTTGATGAGATAATTTGTATTTCTGGATTCAAATCAATGAAATAGCAGTACCTATTGGATGGATGGATGGATGGATGGATGGATGGATGGATGGATGGATGGATGGATGGATGGATGGATGGATGGATGGATGGATGGATGGATGGTGAGCTTTCATTTCCCCCGGCTCAGGACAGATATCTATCTGATACATTCCAGTTTGTAAATGTAAATAATAAATCTTCTTCATACACCAAAGTTAGTTATGGAGTTCCTCAGGGCTCAGTGCTTGGGCAAATACTCTTTACTTTTGTATATGCTTCCATTAGTTATTAAACAGCATGGGATACATTTTCATTGTTATGCTGATGACACACAATTATATTTGTCCATAAAACCCAATGAATACAATCAGTTACTTGGACTACAAGCATGTTTTAAAGACATAAAAACCTGGATGGCCCTTAATTTTCTCCTTTTGAACACAGACAAGACTGAGGTTTTGGTTTTTGAACCTGAACACCTTAGGAATTAATTTTTCAGTTTTTCACCCTCCTTAGATGGCATTAATCTGGCCTCCAGTTCTAATGTTAAAACTCTTGGTGTTATTTTTGATCAGTCTTTTGTCTTTTGACAAGTCTTTTATCCCCAACATTAAAAACATTACTGGAACTGCCTTCTTCCACCTGCGTAATATCGCTAGAATTAGAAACATCTTATCTAAAAATTATGCAGAAAAACTGGTCCATGCATTTGCCAAGTCTAGACTGGACTATTGCAATGGTCCAAAAACTTCTTTAAAACGTCTTCAGTTGATCCAAAATGCTGTGCCAGAGTCTTAACTGGAGATGGAGAGATCATATCTCTTCAGTTTTTGTTTCTCTCCATTGGCTCCATGTCAAATCCAGAATATAATTCAAAATCCTACTTCTAACCTACAAAGCTCTCAACAACCTAGCTCCTTCTTATATTACAGATCTTATTGGTCTATATTTTCCTAACAGAGCACTTCGCTCTCAAGCTGCAGGTTTACTTGTGGTTCCTAGAATTTACAAAAAACAGAATAGGAGGCAGAGCTTTCAGTTATCAGGCTCCTCTCTTGTGGAACCAACTTCCAATCTCTGTCCGTGAGGCTGACACATTATCCAATTTTAAAACTAGGTTTAAGACTCCCCTTTTTGCTAAATCCTATAGTTAGGGTTAGCTTGGGTTTCCTGAGCTGTCCCTTAGTTATGCTGCTATAGGCTTAGACTGCTGGAGGACAAACTGACCACACTTTTTCACTCTGCTACTGTCTTTACTTACTCTGCTCAACCTGTTTTGTATTTGTAATTGTTTCTTCTATCCTTAACATATGGGGTTTCTTTTGTCTTTCAGGTACACCTGCACCTATATGTGAACCTACCATTCTGTGTTCGTTTGTCTCTCCTTCCTGTCCTCTCAACCAGCCGGTCAAAGCAGATGGCCGCTTGTCCTGAGCCTGGTTCTGCTGGATGTTTCTTCCGTTTAAAATAGAGTTTTTCCTTTCCTCTGTTGCCACTGTGCTTGCTCAGGATGTGAGACTACGACAAAGCCAAGATTCAACTTGTCTGCTGGCTTCTTTAGATAGAGAACTTTACTAATAGGCTTTTCTATGTATGTGAACTCCTGTAAAGTGCCCTGAGACAACTTGGTGTGATTTGGCGCTATATAAATAAACTGAATTTAATTGAATTTAGTGGTTTAGATATTTTGTACTATTGCCTGCCTCAGAACTTCCTGGTTGTTGTACATTCATGCTCCTACACGAGTTTTCCACGCACTCCACAGGAGGTAGACTGTGCCGATCAGCTCTGTGAGTTGCTGGACGATATCTTTGACTCCTCGCTCACCCTGGCAACTGTTATCACCTGCCTGAAGACTGTCATCATCATTCCAGTTCCTTAGAGCTCTGGTGTGACTGGACTGAATGAGTACTGGCCAGTAGCCCTCACCCCAATAGTTACTAAATTATTTGAAAGACTGGTCATAGCACACATCAAAGCTACCATCAATATCATCGAGGTTCCACACCAATATGCATAACATAAGAATTGATCAACAGAGGACACCATTTCCTCTGTGGTCCACACTGCTCTCACCCACCTGGAGCAGGACTCCTACATGCATATACTCTTTGTGGACTGCACAGCCACCTTCAACAGCATGATTTCCCAGACTGTGATGGACAAACTACTCACAATAGAACTAAGCAGCTACATTTGCAACTGGGTCCTGGACTTAACCAACAGCCCGCAGTCTGAGGATCCACAACTTCTCCTCCTCCACCATAACCCTCAGCAATGTCTCCCCTCAGGGCTGTGTGCTGAGCCCTCTCCTGTTCACTCTGCTCACTTATGATTGTGCTCCTACCCATCCAGGCTGCCATATTGTAAAGTGTGTAGATGATACAGCAGTAGTTGGATGCATCACAAACAACTATAAGTCCGTCTAAAGGCAGGAGGTGGAACACCAGGAAAACTGGTGCCGGAAGAACAACCTTCACATCAATGTGAAGAAGACAAAGTAGATGACAATGGATTTCAGAAGGAGCAAGCACACCTACCCCCCACCTCTGAACATAGGAGGATCTGCAGTGGAAGTGGTCTGTAGTTACAAGTATTTGAGTGTGCACCTGAATGACAACCTCAGCTGGGGCAACGACACTACCAGTCTGATCAAGAAAGCACATCAGAGACTCTACTTCCTCAGGTGGCTGAGGCGAGCTGGACTGGGTAGCTCAGCCCTCACCTTTTTCTACAGGTGTGCAGTGGAAAGCATCCTGTGCTCCAGCATCAATGTGTGGCACTGAGGTTGCACAGCTGCTGAAAGGAAAGTTCTTCAGAGTGTGTTGAAGGTTGCACAGAAGACTGTTGGGATCAGACTTCCCACCATCACAGGCATCTACACCTCCAGATGCAGGAAGAGGGCCACCTGCATCATGAAGGACCCCATTCACCCAGCACACACTTTTTGCCCCGCTCCCCTCAGGCAAAAGTTTGCAGAACATTGTGTCCATCCACTAGAATGAGGAACAGCTTCTACCCTGAAGCTGTTACGATTCATAAATTCCTTACCAGGATAATCAATGTAAGAAAAAAATCACTGTAATGCCACTTTAATTGGTGATATGTGACTTATCTGTGGTGCTGATTATCCATGCTGCTGAACTCTTGCCATTATGCTGCTGTATTCATACTCATCTGCCCACTACACACTCATATTTGGGCTGCTGTTTAATATACTGTATTATTTTACATTATTAGTGTTTAGTGTATATCTTATACAGTATTTTTGTTTTTTGTTTAGTTTTGATCGTATATCTTACTGTATACTGTTCGTTTCTTTTTATACTGCTAAAACATACACTCTGCCTATAATACTGTACTGTAAATAGTCTGCCATTCTCAATATTCCAATACATACTGAACATTATTATTGATATTGTTTATCTTACTTCTTTATACGTATATTGTTTTTAACATTTAGGAACTTTTGTGTGAATCTTTTTATCTGTTGCTGCTGTTACACTTGAATTTCCCATCCGTGGGACAATAAAGGCTGTTTCTATTCTATTCTATTCTATTCTATTCTATTCTATTCTATTCTATTCTATTCTATTCTATTCTACTGTGTATTTTTGCTATTTTGGGGTGTAACTGAGACCTTGAGTATACAATTTTGTTCTATCTCATGTACCACATGTGATGCTAATTACAATAAAGAACCTTGAACATTGAACCTTGAGTTAAAGTCTTCTTTTTCTCATCTTCATCCAGTTGATATAAACTGAACTCTCTCTCATAGTTGAACATGTATTATCCCCATGCACTACCAAATCCATATGGTTCCAAAGACCACTCCCGGTACAGCCATTCAAGTGGGTGTGTGTGTGTGTGGGGGGGGGGGGGGTGCATTCTACACAGGTAAAATGTGGTTCTCCAGGGAGCACCTGCAGCCTGGTCAAGATACTGGTAGATCAATACAAGGGTATCACAGACAAGAGCAGTGCTCTTTGCCACAAAGGTTGTGTGCACTTTATCCAGGGTTGTTGAAGTTGAGGCATTTGCAAATGTTGAAAATGTCCTACAGCAACTGAGACTTTTCAGTTAAAGTTGATGACAAATCTGCAATATACTATATGGTCCTTAAGCAAACTTTTTTCCTGACTCGGACAATCGGTTGCCTCCACATTTTCAATATTGAATCTCTTTACTCTAACCCTGTTTGATCCCATTGTTAACAATACATAATGGAACATTATAAGAACATTTACACGATAAGAAATCCCACCCTCTTTTCTGATTGGATTACAAATGTGTGAGCAAATTACAGATGGATGTTTCTCAGTTTAAGACCTTTTATTATTCCAGGTGCCATAGCTCTTTCCCAGGTATCAGCTCAGACACATGATAGATCATTAATGGAAGGTTTTGTTTAGATCTGCGGGAACACATAATAAGATAACCTTTAAGGTCATTCTTGATTGACACCTGTCAAATCCAAGTTTGGTTAGAAATGGTATTATTTCACTCTGGTCACTTCCTGCACATATACACATCTTCAGAAATGAAATAGGCAGTGTGGAACCAGAAAAGCCATGAATCAGAACTCAGCTAAGTTGTTGTCAAGCTCGATGCATGAAAGTACTTTTATTGGTTACATTTAGATTTACTAGACATGAATTTTGAGTAAAACCTGCTGATAAATCTGCTGATTGCATAACTTTAATATTGAAACAAAATATTGCTCTGCAAAGACCAAAACCTAACTCCTAACCTTTGGTTCTGTAATAAATGTGCACACCTGGCTGCAGCTGCTGCTGACTGCATATTTTGATCTTGTTTGTTTTCCTTCTTGTAAAAATGAAAAAAAAAAAAAGTGTCATAAATGTTAAAAATGTGTTTTTTAATGATCAACTCTTTGAAAACAGGAAAGTTTTCTGGCAACGTGAGTGTTTTTATGATCAGGTCCTGATTACTTGGTTAAAAAGCTCCTATTCCTGAAACCTGGCAGCAGTCAACATAATGTCTGCCATCTATCATAAAGTTTAAATAAATAAAAAAACTTACATGTATTTGTAAATGCATTAAACTTTGGTACAGCCTGCAGCACACAAGATGCAGAGTTTAAATATCCTCATATCCACAAAAGAGTGTCAACAATTTGAAAACCATAAAGTTATTTTGTCAGATCAAACTTTTAAGAATTGTCTCGGGGTCTGGTTCTGAGTTTTTATTTTTAGATGAGTTTTATATTTGACTGTATTACAAGTAAAAATAAGCATTTAACCATCTGAATGAGAGTGTCACACGAGACAAACGTTTTATGACAACACAGGCAGTGTAGGATTCCCAGTTCTTTCTGCAGGTTCCTGGTTCCAGAGGTGGTGCCAGCAAGCTACAGTTGACAATCATCACCAGGACAATAAGAAGCTGCAGAAGAGTGTCCTTCCTTGCTGGAGCATTACTTCCCTTCTGGTACTTGTACTTTCAGCCCCCTTGTGTTTTTCCTCTAGATCTAAGTAAACTTATCTTTGTGTTCTCCTCATGCTCTCACGGAACCTGGTTTCTGCGCCTCCTGTCCTGGAACAAACTGACTCTCCTTGAATCCTCGACTCCTGTGTCTACCTGTGAGTAACGAGTCCTCCTTGTTGGTCTTCCTCAGCAGCTCCTCTGCCTTACTACCACTTGCCTCCACGTTCCATCTGAACTCTCAGCTGGACCTCCTGGATCTGGAACCCTCCCTCTTCTTCTTTACTCTGCCCTCCTACTGTCGTCCTGTAAGAAACCAATATCTAACTGCTCCTCACAGCCTCTGACCTTTCACCTTCCCTTCCAGGGTTCCCAGGGTGTCACACCTGAACATAGTATTTATTTAATCACTGTAAATAAATCACTTTATACCCTCATAAGAGTTGAGTTCTGTGTTCCTCAGTCTGTTCTATCTGGATAAACACCTCCGTTGTGACAGGTAGACGGACACTTAAAAAAAAAATTAAGAACCTACAGTATATTGATCTGGCAGGTAAGAGAATCAGTTTTCTGGACCTGTCCCGACCTGGATAGTGAGCTCATTCGAAGTGATCAAGATTTCATATTCAATAACAATCGTCCCCTCCTGTTTGCGCAACCTCTGCAACCTCGCTATGGGCAGTCGCTCCATTCCAACATGGTTGGCAGGCCGAGTGCTGTGTGTGATCGGGGAGCCATCTGTTAGCAGACAGATTAGGTCTGCTTCCTCTGCTTTCCTGTCCAGGTCCAGCTCCGGCTCAGTCAGCTTTGTAATCTATGTACTGTGAACTAATGGGCTTTCTGCAAAGCAAGCCAGAGTACACCTGCGTCTCTTCGTATTTGCTCAGAGTGGATAGTAACAAGCTCCACATCAGCAACTCTAAACATAGATGACTAAATGTCCCTGAAATGGACAAGAGTGCCTGAGTAAACAGAGTGTTGACTAAAAATCAGAAATAAAAATGATGGAGAGATGGTTTATCAGTCATTGCCTTTATTTGTGTGTATAAAACTACATTATGCAGACTATATTTGAGAGCATTGTGTGTAAACTGTCTGGACCCACTCCTGCCATCATTGCCACAGTTTATCGCCCCCCAAGACCTCACAAAGATTATTTAAATTATTTCTCTGCCTTTCTTTCTCAACTGTCTGCTTTGTCACCTAATATTATTTTATTGGGAGATTTTAACATTCATATTGACAATCTTTACCTCCCACTCACCAATGATTTTTTTTAATCCTGCCTGGAGAGTTCTGGATTCAATCAACTTGTTGATTTTCCCACCCATATCAGAGGCCATACATTGGCCTTGAGTTCTTGTTCTGGGCTTACCCCTGTTGACTCTAAAGTCGATGAACTCTCCTTTTCTGATCATTTTTTTCCTATCATTTCATGTTCCACTGTGTGTTTCATCAACCAAGACAGCCCGGCTCATCTCGTTCAGGAACATTAAAGACATTAATTTGGATTCTATTTCATCTAGTATTACCTCCACTCTGATACCTGGACATCTTCTGACACCTGGTCAACTTACTGCTCAACATAATAATCAATTAACCCTTATTCTCAACTCCCTTGCTCCTGTTAAAACACGATCTGTTAACTTTACTCATTCTACCCCCTGGTTTACTCCTGAACTCCGGTCCATCAAAGCCAAATGTCATCAACTGGAACGACTCTATAAAAAAATCTATCTGGTCTTACCATCCATAAGGACATGTACATCTCTCAGACATCACATTACAAGATCTTAATATCACAAACTAAATATGCTTTCTACTCTGGCCTCATTTCCTCCAATAAAGGTTACACCAAGATCCTCTTTTCATTCTTAAACAATACTTTTCATCCCCCCGACTCTCTTCCCTCTCACTTCTATTCAAATGACACCTGTAATACTCTCATGTTCTTTTTTAATGATAAAATCAGAAAAAAATCATCAGCAACTTTGTCATGTCTCTCCTCTTCCTCCCTCATCTAAACCTTCTCCCCTCGGTCAGCATTTTTCCGTCTTTCAGCTTCCTCCTACCTCTGAAATAGCCAAACTCATTCTGAAATCCAAGTCCTCCACATGTTCATTGGATCCTCTCCCAACAGTACTTGTACATTCTTGCCTTTTTTCACTTCTCCCTATCATTTCTGTCTGCCATAATTCACTCTTTTCTTTCTTCAGGAACTGTACCAACTATTTTCAAAACTGCAGTTGTCACTCTGATCCCTAAGAAGACTGTATTGGATCCAAATATTTTCAATAATCTTCACCCTATTTTTAACCTTTCATTCATCTCTAAAATTCTGGGGAAAAAAAGTCACTTCTCAACTCCACCTCCATTTAACCAAAAACAGTCTATATGAACAGTTCCAGTCTGGTTTCTGCCCCGGTCACAGCACAGAATCTGTTCTCTTTAGAATCGCTAACACTCTTCTCATGGAAGCAGATTCTGGTTTACTTTCTCTCCTCATCCTCCTCGATTTTAGTATGGCGTTTGATGCTATCTCCCACAACATCCTCCTCCGCAGACTTTCATCCACTGGCATCACCCATACACCCATCGCTTGGTTTCAGTCATATCTCTCTGGCCGCATTCAGTCCATCCAACTTAAATCATTCAGATCCCACTCCTCCCCTGTCACTTCAGGTGTGCCCTAAGGCTCTGTCCTGGGGTCCCTTCTTTTCATTATCTACCTTCTCCCCCTTGGCAATATCTTCCGTAAATTTAACATTCATTTCCATCGTTTTGCCGATGACACCCAGCTCTTCTTATCCATTGCACCTAATTCTTCACTTCCTCCCTCACTTCCTGCTTAGCTGAAATTAAATCCTGGTTTACATCTAACTTCCTTAAATTAGTTCACTACAACAGTGATAAAAAAGAGTTTCTACTCATCGGCACTAAATCCACCATATCTAAAGTCAACAGTTTTTCTCTCACCATTGACAGCTTCATGTTTTCTCCCTCCCCTCACGTTAAGTGTCTGGGTGTCATTCTTGACAGCACTCTCTCTTTTCACTCTCACATCAATAATATTACCCGGTCTGCATACTTCTACCTTTGAAACATCAACCGTCTCCTTCCATCCCTCTCCCCGCACTCTGCTTCCATCCTGGTTCATAGCTTGGTCATTTCTCGAATTGATTACTGCAACTCTCTCCTATTTGGTCTGCTGCAAAAGTTACTCCGTAAGTTTCAAATGGTTCAAAATTCAGCTGCTCGCATCGTTATTATCATTTCACCAGTTTTACAGTAACTTGACTGGCTTCCAGTCACTTTCAGAATTCAATTTAAAATCCTGTTGTACACATTCAAGGCTATCCATAACCTCGCCCCTCCCTGTCTGTCCGATCTCCTGCACATTATCACCCATTCACGCTCCCTTCGTTCTTCCTCTTCCATCCACCTCAACGTGCCTCTCATCCACCTCAGCACCATGGGACACAGAGCCTTTTGCTGTTCCCCCAGACATTTGTAACATTGACTCCCTTCAGACCTTCAAATCACAACTCAAAACTCATCTGTTCAAGTTAGCCTTCTCTAATTTTTTGTTATTTTCTTCTTGGTTTAGTGTTTTTAAAGCCATTTTGTATTGTTTAATTTTGTGTTTAATTTTGTGTTTTTAATGTTGTGAAGTATCCTTAGTGTCTTGAAAGGTGCTAACAAATAAAATGCATTATTATTATTAGTAGTAGTATTATTGTTATTATTATTATTATTATCTAATTAGATCTTTGGCCTTTTTACCAATCAAATAATTGGTGCCTGTAGTTATGTCTAGGCAACCAACTGAACTGATTATTCCCTGCTTAGTCATTACGAGCCACACCTATTATTACAGCCTGACT